GGCCCGTCTGTGCGACAGCCAGCAAAATCCCCCCCAGGGCTCCTGTGCGTGCCGGCAAGTGCAGGGGAGATCTCGAACTTCTTCAAGCTTTAGTAAAAAATCACCTATTGGCATAAAAACGTGGCAAGCGGGGCTGAGCACAAAGAGGGGAAACCTCTGGTGTTTGTCCCTTCAGCCTCCACCATGTCCCAGTGCAGAGAGAGAAACAGAGATGGGGACCACGGGGCGGTCGGGCAGCGTCCCCCCAGGACGAGGGGTGGAAGGGAACTCCCTGCTCTTGTCCCCCAGTGCTCCCACCCACCACACGGCTCCTCGAGGCCAGGCAGCCCACCTCCCCGCTGCCTGTCCCGTCCCTCTGCCTGCAAGACCCAGCGAGGGCAGCACTGGCAGCAGGGAGGGAAGGGGGGAGTCCCATATCCCAGCCCCGCTCCGCCGCTGCCTGCTCTGCACCCACCCTGGCACTGATCCTGCCCCAGTCCCAGAGGCCAGGAGAGCACCCTCCGCACGGGGTGGGATGCTGCTCAGTCCCGCACCACCCTCTCGCTGCCGCCGTCGTGGCTTTGCCAATCTCTGCCGCCCAGGGACTTGCACCAAGCCCCCGCTGAGGGGTGCAGGTCGGGTGCATCCCTGGCTCCAAACCCAGCCCCGAGCCTGGACCCAGGGCCCAGAGGCGTCTGGGCAACTTCCCTGACCCCAGCAGAAGACAGACGAGGCTCAACCCCACAGAGATGCTCTCGCCACCGGCTGCCTTCACCTCCGCAGCCATCTACCCCGCGGCGAGGTGCCTGTGAGCAGCCCATGCCACCCTGCCAGCCCCGCACAGCATCATGCAGGTGCCTCGTCCCAGCCCCACAGGGTGAACCCTAGGGCCAGTCTCTGCCCCGGCTGTCCCCGTCCCAGCCCCTCCACCAGCACTCCCCAGGGAGCAACGGCATTACCTGGGAATGCCTGTGCCTGTGTGGGGTCCTGAGCCGCAACGTCCGTGGACGGTGCCTGCCCCTCGCCGCTCAGGGAGAGCTATTTATCTGGTGTGGGGGCCGAGGAGCCCAAAACTGCACCACTTCCCCGTTCAGGGGTTTGTCCCTGCCGCTGCTTTTGGGAAGTGGCTGTCATCATCAGCTGTTTCTTGCCTTTTACTAATTTGGGGCTGTTTTGGGGCAGAGGTCGTGGTGGTCCCCACAGGAGGTTTTTGCAGCATCCGAACGCCCCAGGCTACGAGGGTCATTGGGAGGCTGCATTTTCTTTGCACCACTGCAGCCCAACCAGCATCGCTCCCCTGGCACCCCCAGAGCCCCTTGGGGCATCCTTGGCCTGTGCTGTGCTAGAGCCACAAGCAGGGCGATATCCCAGCCCCGGGGGCACCCACCGACCTGCCCAGCACACCCAGAGGGTCTCTGGGTTTAGTGGGGAGAGCCCGTGCTGGGGTTCAGGTGCCTGTGGGGATGGCAATGCCCCATGGGGATGCTGCTGCAGACGGCACGCCATCTGCCCGAGTCTTCCCTGGGGCAACCGGCCACCCGGAGACTTTATTCTCCCTGTTACGTTGTGGGTTTTCACTGCAGCATGCCCAGAATGAGGAGAGGACTCTGCCAGCCCTCCTGAAGGGGGTTCCCAGCTCAGCACCGAGGCCGTGCCAAGACACGGGGCGATGCAGAGGCTACTGGGGCCGTCTGGCCAAGCCCAAGGGGTTTGCACTGAGGCCAGGGCACCATCCGCTTGGGTTTTCAAAAGGAGGGTCTGGAGGGGCCCGGGGGAACCTGCAGGAGGAGCAACTAGGAGCAAATCATCCCAGCAGCATGGCAGCCCTGAGCCTGGCCCTGCAGCGTGACCTTCAGGCAGGGGCTGAGTTGATCTTTGGCTGGTTTGGGGCAGGATCCAGATCCAGCCTCTGCCATGGGTGCCTGTGTCTAAAGTAAAGGGACCCGGCGCTGTGGCACCAGCCCGTCTGTGCACTGGGTAAAGCTGCCACTCAAATTCGATGGCTCAGGGTCAACGCTCGACCTTGTGTACATGGAATGGGAGTGTGGGAAACTGCCCTCCGGGACCTCGTGCCGCTGTGCAGCGCCCCGCCGTCCCCTCCCCACTTGCTCCGTGCCCATGTCGGGCTTGACTCAGCTGGGTCGGGTGCTGAGCCAGGCTGAGTTGATCTTTGGCTGGTTTGGGGCAGGATCCAGATCCAGCCTCTGCCATGGGTGCCTGTGTCTAAAGTAAAGGGACCCGGCGCTGTGGCACCAGCCCGTCTGTGCACTGGGTAAAGCTGCCACTCAAATTCAGGGTCACAGGGTCAACGCTCGACCTTGTGTACATGGAATGGGAGTGTGCCCTCCGGGACCTCGTGCCGCTGTGCAGCGCCCCGCCGTCCCCTCCCCACTTCTCCGTGCCCCATGTCGGGCTTGACTCAGCTGGGTCGGGTGCTGAGCCAGCACGGGAGCGGCAGCTGCCCGCAGCCGCCCCGGTAAGCCCCTCGGGCTGTGCCGCCCGCTGCCAAGCAGCGCTGCCGGAAAACCTGTCCCAGACCCTGCCGGTGAGCAGGGAGCCAGGCTGCCGGTGCGGGGAGGCTGTGCCAAGCCTGCACCCCCTGCGGCGGGGGCACCACGCGTTGCCAGCTGTGGTTCGGGAAGCTGCCGAGCTGCGTTTCCTGACACAGCACCGAGCGAAGAAAGCCTGACTTAGGCAAATACGGCCATATGGCATCTGGGCTCAGGCTGGCTGGTGCCAGGGCTTCTGCAAAGAGCCGGAGCGGCCGTCTGGCCCCGAGGCAGGAAAGCCTGAGGCCGCTCGACCCAGCTCCGTCCCTTGTTCTGCGTCAGCTTCCGGATCCTCTCCTTCCCTTTCA